TTTATTTATTTATTTATTTATTTATTTATTTATTTATTTATTTATTTTTGGCTGGCGAGGGTCACAAGTGCTGTGGTGTACTGCTTGGTATCTTGGTGTACCCCACTCATCATGCATCCTCTTCAGCTGTGAAACAAGCTTTGAGGACACCCAGGCCGTAGGAGCACACATTTCTGAATATTTATTTCAGTTTTCCTCAGAGTTTCGGACTACCCTGTTAAAGGCATCACCTTAGGGAGCCGCTGGAAAACCTACTTAGCCCTCTCCTGTTTGGCTGAATGCATTTTGCAATTCATGCCAAAAGTGCATATATCCTATATTTTTCTTTTCTGAAAGCAAGGGAGTGTAAATTAGACCAACGGTGTGGTTTGGAAACTAAAAGTGATTGGCTTCAGTACAAATGCTTACCTGCAGGTTTCAGTAGTTTGAGTGCCGGCATGGTCGGTAAGATGATGCCCTGAACGTAGTTGGTCCTCGTGGCATGCTTGTAGACTGTGTACACACAGAAGTGGTCATCAGCTAATGTAAGTGCCTGGCTTTGGGAAAGTAAGATTTAGTGAAGTCTTGTGGGCGCCTGCACATGAGGGAATAGACTTTTGTAAATTCTACTTTCACTTTAAAAATTGGAGTGTAGGCCAGCAAGATGGCACAGAAAGTAAAGGTGCTGCAAAGCTTGACACTCCTGGGTTCAGTCTCTGGGACCCACATGGGAGAAAGAGAACGGACTCCCTCAATTTATTCACTGACCTCCATTTGTACCCTTCCCCCCAACAAATAATAGATTTATATCTGAGCCAGTTAATTGGTCCAGTGAGTAAAGGCACTCGCTATCAAGCCTGATGACTTGAGTTCAAGTCCTAAGTTCTGTGTGGAAGAAGGAAAGAATAGACTCCTGTAAATTGTCCTCTGACCTCTGCACCATGCCACACACATACCACTCCCCTAACATATAGATGTCCATATACACAAAAGCAAATATATATATATATATATATATATATATATATATATATATATATATAATGGCAAGCTTGCCTGCAAGCTCAAGGCCCCTAAGGTCAGTTTCCAAAACACCAAAATTTTATATATATATATGGTCAGAATTAATCAAAAGTTCCTTCAGATGGCCTGAACCTTAGTTCCCTTTCCTAGTCATTCTAAGACCAAGATCTAGTTTGAGAGACAACAAGGAGATGGTGGCTAGGATACTTTCCTTAGTCTGTCAGCTGCACATGGTACTAGGTAAGTGGCTCAGCCTCTGGGAACAGAAGTCCTGCTTGTATTACAGTCCCCGATCTGACCAGGAATCTGAGAGCCGAAAAGGCCTGGTAAGTAACATCTCCATCCCTTCTTTTCAGAAGTAGAATGCCTCAGGAAAGCAGCTATGGGAAGTGGACAGTATCCAGCAGCGACGACAGTGAGGATGACAAGCCTAACACTGACCCGCCGTCCACATCCTGTGTCTCCCAGGCTGCGCAGGGAGCGCCGAAGGAGCCCCTGTACACCTGCTCAGAGGCCCGCAGGGCCGCACACAAGAGACAGATCTCACCTGTGAGATTCAGCAACGCAGACTCGGCGTCAGCCCCCAAGAAGCAGAAGAGAGACTCCCCAGAAAGTCTCGGGTGGTGTCTGTCCAGCAGCGACGATGAACAGCAGCCAGAGACCCAGCGGGAACGGCCTACGAGGTCGGCAGTTCAAGAGGAGGAACGGGTCTCCTCGCCCGGCATGACTGCTGCCCAGAAAGTTGTAGATCTTAGCCCTCCTGCCAGCCCCAGGCCCCAAGGGGCAGACAACGAGTACGAGACCTCAGGGGAAGGCCAGGACATCTGGGACATGCTGGAGAAAGGGAACCCCTTCCAGTTTTACCTCACTAGAGTCTCAGGGATTAAGGCAAAGTACAACTCCAAAGCCCTCCACATCAAGGGTAAGGATAACGGCTTTTAGGAGACGTTTCCCTCTTGGTAAAGCAAAAGGCACAGCTCAGAATGGCCTCTAAGACCCTATCTAACTACTTGGTGGGAGGGTAGTTTACCCTGAGTGTGTGTGACAGCAAACTGTTTGAGAGGTGGCATTCAAAGGGTGCCTCTCAAGCCCCCAAGCTCAGCCCCTAGTAATGCCTGGCATGGTGCTTAGAATTGGTTAACTCCGAAAGTGAAGAGTAAACTTGATTGGCGGCGCTGTTAAGTGTTATAAACTTCATAGTGGTTCAGTATGTCCCTGAGCCACAGCATCAGAATCACCCAGACCGTAGAAATGCCAGTTCTCAGCCCTATTTTAGAGTCATCAAGTCAAACTCTTGGTGGTCAGGGCCTGCCACCTGTGCTTTCCCTAAGCCTCCAGGGAGTGACAGTGTTCAGTGATGTCTGAGAACCTCTTCATGAAAGCTCGGTTTTTGCTCCTAGAACAGAGAAGCAAAAATATGGATGCTTCAGGTAGGAGACAGAGCAGGGTCTCAAGTGGTTCTCTGCATGCCATGGAGGAACCGCGGAGGATGTGGACTCAGGCGGCACAGATCCCTTCCTTTGCCACTCATCTGCTCTGTAGTTGAGATGGTACGGGAAGAGGATTCAGAACAGAGGAGTAGGTGAAGTGAGCAGGGCATGCATCCCCATGGCAGACAGACACAGTGAGCATTGTTTCACATTAACGTTTTTCTCTGGCTTATATTCATGACCCAGATTATGATTATTCTCGGCATAGTTTTTATGTACCAAATGTATGTATGATAGTACGCCATCTTCTCCTGTATGGGGCGTGAATGTTGGTGGGTTTAATTCCATAGTAGTAAGTCCAGCTCTACAAATTTCTGAGCATCTCTTATGTAGGTATCCAAGATATATGAGATAGTTGCCAGTGGTTTTGCTTTGTCCGGGGGAGGCTGACATAGGAAACAGAGGAGTCTGGGAAGTAATATAATAGTAATGACATGGCTGACAGCACCAAGAGTTTTGGTGTGGGGGAGATGGCATCATGAGGGTTTTACATACATTTTAATTGTCAGAGCAGCCCAATAAGAGGACCAGATGTCCTTGGACATGCGTCAGATCAGCAGTTCCAAAAAGTTAAATCACTTATCCTAGGTCACAAGGCTGTTAAATGGTAGAGCCACACACACTTGAATCCAGTCCTTCTTGAGTCTAAACCCATGCTCGTTGATGTATCCTGCTAACACTAGTTGTAATTATGGGTTCTCTAGATCTCACGGAGGACAGGCAGAGGCCCTCCAGTGGACCCTGGAAGACGGGCCCTGGAAGTTTAAACAGCCAAAGATGCAGACAGGGGCCAGCTAGAAGACTACGCTGCTGCTTATCTCCTAACTCTGCTGCTCTCAAAAGGAGAAGGACCTTCCTTGCTAGTCGTTTTTGCTTTTTCAAACGCTCTGTACATGAGCATCGAGCTCAGTGTCTAGAGGACAGGAAACACAAGTGACTAGGACAGGAAGCATAAGTGAACTAGCCCACTTCCTTCTCCAAGGCACCTCAGTAGGTACTGGCAGCCAGAGGCATACATTCTGAATCCAACCTTAACTCTGGCCCTTTCAGCTGTGTGGCCACACCCAGCCACCTCCTGAGACTCCCAGAAAGGAAGAATAACACCTTAGCTCACCACCCCCACCTTTGGCATAATTTTTACACAGAAAGTGCTAAGAACAGTGTCTATCCCCTAAGAAGGTCTGTATAGGTAAAACATGGCGTTATTATGGTATGGTTAGCTAACAGTGCCCTTTCTAACCTGTCCAAAGTGAGGCTGGAGAGGAACCAAGTGAGATGTCCCGAGCTGACCTAGAGTACTAAGGATGTAAATATTCTGTTGTAGGAAGCAAGCTCTCTGGCTACAGGGGAGCAGCATTGGGGATTTATATAGTACGAAAAGAAGGATTCAGAGGTTCAGGAATTAAAATGGGTGTCATGAATGATGCATAAACAGTCTAAATTTGAGTAGCCATCCAGGACTTAAGTTTTTTATTTTAATTTTGCATTCAAGTTTGTCAAAAAATGTATAATAAGTTTTTTTTGTTTTTTTTTTGTTTTTTTTTTTTTTGGTTTGGTTTTGGTTTTTTTGAGACATGGTTTCTTGTGTAGCCTTGGTTGTCCTGGACTTGCTTTGTAGACCAGGCTGGCCTCAAAGTCACAGAGATCCTCCTGCCTCTGCCTCTGCCTCTGCCTCTGCCTCCCCAAGTCCTGGGATTATAAGCATGCACCACCTCGCCCAGCAGTATAAGGAAATGTTTTCATGGCTTTATAGAAAATTATCTAGCCTTGTAGCTTACCTGCTTATTCCTTGACTGTCACTAGCTGCTGAAAAGCACAGTTATTGTGTTATGAAATCTAGAGGATTTTTTTTTTTTTTTTGTATCTGAGAATTGATTTGTCTTGTCTTTGTAGATATTTTATCTCCTCTCTTTGGGACACTTGTCTCCTCAGCTCAGGTGAGTTTATGGTAAATTGTGTTTTCTTCAGGTAATGAGAGACAGATAGTTAAACAACTTTATAAGAAAATGTGACAGCAGATGGGCTTCTCGGTCCTATACAGTGTACCCTAAGCTGGCATCTGCCTAGAGCCTGGCCATATTGCAGGATCCACGTGCGGCAGCCTCTCACTTGGCCCCTGCAGTGTAGACCATGGGGGCCACCAACAGAAGACACCTGACTCTTGATCAGGCCATGAAGTCTAGCCAAGAAGTCACTGTGCATGTTCCTATCTGAAAGACTTTGAGAGATGCTTCCAACCTGGCTGGATGCTGGTGCAGCCCCCTGAGGAAGGGTGGGTGGCATGGTGAAGACCAAGTCAGATTTGAGGCACTTTAGAAAAATGGATGCTCTGCACTGACCAGAAAGGAGTGAGTGAAATATACGGCTCCTGCTGCGCTGAGCTGGTTTCTTGGTGCTGACAGGTCATCACTAATGGTCCAGACTAGTCAGGAAAAAGGATGTTGTTCCTGAAGCAAGCAAATGCACCACCTTCCTGTATGATGTGACCTTGATCTCTAGACCCAAACTTAATGTGGTGCATCTGCGTTCTGGCTCAGCTAGACGTGAGCTCCTGTGCCAGGATTGGCCAGGCGTTAATAGGAGGCTTCCCGGTAAATAAAACCTCTGTGGAACTTGTGGTCAGTAGGTACTAACTATGAACAAGTGAGAGAGTACCAGGCCGCCTGATAAGTTGTGCTGGAAGGAAATGGCCTTTCCTAAAAGTCCTGGGACCTTTGTCTCTGACACCACAGGGAAACTGTGAGCCCGGACCAGAAATAATGTCAGAACAGCACTGACAAATAGAAACCAATCTGCCAAAGTATGTGCAGATAATGCCCTGAGAACCTATTCTGGACATTTGGCTCCATCTATGCAGGTTCCTTTAACCAAATGTTTTACCAAGATGAACTTGATTTTGCATACTGCAGCACACCTGACTGTTTGCGAACACTGTATCACATGGTCGCTTTAGAAAGTCTTTCAGTCTAATAATGGTTCTTGTGAACAGACGTGTGGCTTACTTGCTTTTCTTTTTCCCTGTCTAGTTTAACTACTGCTTTGATGTGGCCTGGCTTATAAAACAGTATCCGGCAGAATTCAGGTGAGTCCTGGGATGCCAGACGCTCAGGCAGCGGGGCTTGCACTTCTCAGACTGCCCATCCATCTTTTCTTCATATTTCACGTGGCGTCATTGTAGACAGAAAACACTGGGTTTTGGAGAACAGCATTTTGTGCATGTATATACGTGTGTGGGCGTGTGTCTGTGTGTGTGTGTACATGCGTATGGGCATTAAGTGTTGATCTTCAGGAGCCATCTCCTCCCCCTCCTCTCTTCTTTTATATTTTATTCATTTTTCGAGACAGGTTCTTTTTTGGATTGCAAGTGCACACCACCATGCTTGGCATCTTTTACATGTTCTGGAGACAAAACTCAGGTCTTCATGTGTGCAATGCAAACACTCTCCAAATAAGTCACCCACCGCCTCTGCTGAGAACAACCTGTTTGACCTATTCAGTCACATGCATTCTTTCCACAGACTTAAGCATTTTCCAGTTTGCTCTGTCCAGAAGTAGATGAGGACGAATTCCAACTCAAGTAACAGGACTTCATGAGCAAAGTTAGTGTGAAGGAAAGAGTCGTCTCTCGTGGTATCTTCATGGTACATGAGGCCAGCGTGCCTCCCTTGGCTCAGCACATCAAAGCTATTCTTTTCCAGTGAGCTCCATAAGCCAAACCAAATCATTCTTCCAGAGTTATCTCTGGAGTTAGGAAAGGAGATCATGACCTTCCTTTGCACAAGCTGACATGCAGCTAGGCGTTCAGTGCTGCCTCTGCAACCCCTCAGCCTCCTGTGAAGCAGTGCAGACCAAGTAAATGTAGCCACGCATGGTGACACAAGCCATTTGTGTTCATAACACAGACTTGTGCAGAATCCACTCACAGTAAACGGGATGGAGGAAAACACACTGGAAAAGATAAAATAAAAAAGACGAATGACAGCTTCATCAAGTCCTTGATGTATTTAAGGCATCATTGCAGAAACCTTTGTCATTAGAGAGAGTAAAATGTAGAGATTTCCCAGCAGCTTTGCCACACAAAGGTTTGTATTTGACAGAATAAAAGAGCATCCGCTATAGTTTCATAGTAACAGAAAATTCAAAATAACAGTAGCTTGAATTTTTTTTTTTTTTTTTTTTTTTTCTGTTTCTCCATATGAAGTTGAGAATTTTTCTTTCCAGGTCTGTAACTAATTATGTTGGTATTTTGATAGGAATTGCATTGAATCTGTAGATTGGATTTGGCAGAATGGCCATTTTCACTATGTTAATCCTACCAATCCATGAGCATGGGAGATCTTTCCATCTTCTGATATCGTCTTCAATTTCTTTCTTTAGAGACTTGAAGGTTTTTTTGAACAGGCTTTTATTTGCTTGGTTAGAGTCACACCAAGGTATTTTATGTGATTAGTGGCTATTGTGAAAGGTGTTGTTTCCCTAATTTCTTTCTCGGCCCTTTTGTCTTTGGTATACAGAAGGGCTTCTGGTTTTTTTTATTTAATTTTGTATCCAGCCACATTACCAAAGGTGTTTATCAGCTGAAGGAGTTCTCTGGTTGAATTTTGGGGTCACTCATATATACTATCATATCATCTGCAAATAGTGACACTTTGACCTCTTCCTTTCTAATTTGTATCCCCTTGATCGCCTTTACTTGTCTTATTGCTTTAGCTAGGACTTCAAGTACTATGTTGAAGAGATATGGAGAGTGGGCAGCCTTGCTTTCTCTCTGATTTCAGTGGGATTGATTTAAGTTTCTCTCCATTGAGTTTGATGTTGGCTATAGGCTTGCTGTATATTGCTTTTACTATGTTTAGGGATGTGCTTGTATCCCTGATCTCTCCAAGACTTTAAACATGAATGGGTGTTGGACTTTGTCAAATGTTTTTCGGCATCTAAGGAGATGACCATGTGGTTTTTCTCCTTCGGTTTGTTTATATGGTGGATTACATTGATGGATGTCCGTATGTTGAACCACCCCTGCATGCCTGGTATGAGGCCTACTTGGTCATGGTCTTTTACATGTTCTTGGATTCGGTTTGCAAGTATTTTATTGAGTATTTTTGCATCAATGTTCATAAGAGAGATAGATCTGAAGTTCTTTTTTTGTTGGGTCTTTGTGTGGTTTAGGTATCAAGGTGACTGGCTTCACAGGATGAGTTTGGTAATGTTCCTTCTGTTTCTGTTTAGTAGAATAGTTTGAAGAAAATTGGAGTTAGCACTTCTTTGAAGATCTGGTAGAATTCTGTGCTGAAACCATCTGGCCCATGGATTTTTTTGGAAGGGAGACTATTGATGACTGCTTCAATTTCCTTGGGGGATATAGGACTATTCAATCTTTCTTCCTGATCTTGACTTAATTTTGGTAGATGGAATCTATCAAGAAAATTGTCCATTTTCTTTAGATTTTCAAACAATCCTGTACAACAACAGATCATCTGGAGGTAACTCCATCCCTGATCTCAAGTTGCACTACAGAGCAATAGTAATAAAAACTGCATGGTATTGGCATAGAAACAGAATGGTGGATCAGTGGAAATGAATAGAAGACCCAGAAATGAATCCACACACCTATGAATACTTGATTTTTGACAAAGAAGCCAAAGCCATATAATGGAAAAAAGATAGCATCTTCAACAAATGGTGCTGGTCCAACTGGATGTCTACATGCAGAAAAATGCAAATAGATCCATATTTATCACACTGCACAAAACTTAAAGTCCAAGTGGATCAAAGACCTCAACATAAAACCAGACACACTAAATTGGTTAAAAGAAAAAGTGGGGAAGAGCCTAGAACTCATTGGTACAGGAGACATCTTCCTGAACACAACACCAACAGCACAGGCTCTAAGAGCAACAATCAGTAAATGGGACCTCATGAAACTGAAATGCTTCTGTAAAGCAAAAGACTCTGTCAACAGAACAAAACGACAGCCTAAAGACTGGGAAAGGATCTTTACCAACCCTATATCTGACAAAGGGCTGATATCCAGAATATATAAAGAACTCAAGAAGTTAAAAAGGAACAAATCAAGCAATCCAATTAAAAAATGGGGAACAGAACTAAACAGAGAATTCTCAATAGAGGAATATAGATGGCAGAGAAACACCTAAAGAAGTTCAGCGTCCTTAGCCATCAGGGAGATGCAAATCAAAACGTCCCTGAGATTTTACCTTAGGCTAAGATCAAATATTCAAATGACAACACATGCTGGAGAGGTTGTGGAGAAAAGGAAACCCTCCTCCATTGCTGGTGGGAATATAAACTTGTACAACCACTTTGGACATCAATCTGGTGCTTTCTCAGACAATTAGAAATAGTGCTTCGTTAAGATCCAGCTATACCACTCTTAGGCATATATCCAATAGATGCTCAAGTACATAAGAAGAACATTTGCTCAACCATGTTCGTAGCAGCTTTATTCATAATAGCCAGAACCTGGAAACAACCCAGATATCCATCAACGGAGGGATGAATACAGAAATTGTGGTACTTTTACACAATGGAATACTACTCAGCAATGAAAAACAAGGAAACCATGAAATTTGCAGGCAAATGGTAGGATCTAGAAAAGAACATCCTGAATGAGTATCCCAGAAGCAGAAAGACATTCACGGTATGTACTCACTTATTAGTGGACACTAGACCTATAAGATAAGATAAATATACTAAAATCTGTACACCTAAAGAAGATAAACAAGAAAGAGGACCCAGGGTAAAATGATCAATCTTCATTTAGAAAGACAAATGGGATGGACATTGGAAGTAGGAGAAAACAAGTAACAGGACAGGAGCCTACCACAGAGGGCCTCTGAAAGACTATACCTAGCAGTGTACCAAAGCAGATGATGAGACTCATAACCAAACCTTGGGCAGAGTGCAGGGAATCATATGAAAGAAGGGGGACCTGGAGAGGACAGGAGCCCCACAAGGACCAAATATATCAGGGCACAGGGGTCTTTTCTGAGACTGTATCTTCAACCAAGGACCATGCATGGATATAACCTAAAACCCCCACCCCCCAGGAAGGAGCAGCCTTGCTAGGCCACAGAGGAGGACATTGCAGCTAGTCCTGAAGAGACCTGATAAACTAGGGTCAGATGGAAGGGGAGGAGGATCTCCCCTATCAATGGATTTAGAGAGGGGCAGGGAGGAGATGAGGGAGGGAGGGTAGGATTAGGAGGGAATGAGGGAGGGGACTACAGCTGGGATACAAAGTAAATAAACTGTAACTAATATAAAAAAAATTTTTTTCCAACCACAAATGGTAGGTATCTGTATCTACAGAGAGTACCACAGATTTTCTTTGACCTAGCCACCCCCCTTTTCTATCAATCCATCCTACCATCCTAGTGTCCTAGTGTTTTGACTTCATAGAGTTACCTCATGGTCCAGGATAGCAGCCTAAGCTCCAGCCGTCTTGTCTGTCTTCCAGGTAGCAGGAAGGAGGAGAAAAGATGACTCCTCCATCCATGCCGCTCTGAGCTGTTCTGGCTGGTCCTGAGTCTCTTTTATAGAACAGAGCTCACATGACACTGCCATCTCTAAGGCTAGATATGTGGTCTTCTAACTGAGCCCAGCTTGTCTTACATGCAATAAGGGATTTGCTAGGAAAAGGGAGACTGGGTACATGGGGCTAATTTGGATGTTGCCTCCACCTGGTTCCTGAGTGTTGTTACACTGTTGCTTTCCGCTTCTTTTTCCTTGCTTCTCAAGGACCTTGAAATCAAATGTCACCTTTCACAGTATTAACAAAGTGTAGGCTATAATTCCTTTCCTGCCTCTTATGGTTTGAACTGATGCTTTGGATTTCCAAGCCTTAGTACCTCTGCATGAGACTATATTTATAGGTCAGGTCTTTATAGAATTCATGAGCCAAGCTGAGTTGACCTCAGCAGGCAGCCAGTAATCCAGCATGCTGGCATCCTTATAAAAAGGAGGAAGTTGGACACAGAGACAGAGAAGATGGAAGACAAAAGGAGAGTGTGAACTGTAAGCCAAACAGTGGTTAAGTCTGCCTCCTTCCCCGCCCCCCCCCCCAAGCCAGAGTGAGGCCTGGTTCTTCCTCAGTCCTCTTCAGGAGCCAGTATGCTGGCCCCAGGCTGCGAGCACCAGATCTCAGGTTTACTGCTTCCAGAAGTGTGGCATCCCAGATTTTTGTGGTATAAGCCACTTGGTTTGTGGTGCTTTGTTACGGAGAAGCCAAAGTCAAAGGATAAGGTCCTTTTCTCTACCCCTTGTTACCAAATGCATCTTGGGAGAGTTGTGACGATACTACAAGGCTAAAGAATGAGTAAATGACAACTTCAAGAAACACCCATAATTACATTGTGAAACACCACAGGTGTGAGGGCCTGCCTCTCGCTGCATCCAGGTGTTGCCCTTCTGTAGTAGTCCACAGAACAGTAAGTCTGAAGGCCTGAATGAGCGCGTCGACATCCGTCCTTAATGCTTGGTGACTTGATATTTGAATGACCTGTGACACTAACGTCTTGCATTCCTCTCTGTGTGGTTTGCTAGCCGCACCGTCTCTAAGTAGAAAAGCACTAGGAATGTGTGCTTCGTCCTTTTGTATGCCAGTCCTGCTGGAGCAAAGCTAACGTGGGCGTGAGGCAGCCAGACAGTACCTCTGAATGGGCGAGCACAGCGATGGTCTCCATTGGAATGTTGCCTCTCATGCCTGCCGAGGTATAACAAGGTGTGGCCGCAGCTGTTTATTTTGTTAGGATGCTTGTTGGAGAAGACTCCTATTTTTCTTGTCTGAGAAGAGTTTGTAAGGATACATTGATTTCTAAGGATTAACTGAAGATAAAGTATCTCTTAAAAAACCTTTCTAAAGCCAGGTCTGGTGGCTTGTGTCCGTATCCCAGCACTGGAGAGGCTATGGAAGGTTAGTGTGGACAATGCATCGAGTTAAGGCCAACTTGCACTATGTCTCAAGACCTTGTCTCAGAATAAGTAAACAGGGAGAGTCTTTTTAATATGTTCCTAAAGAACATTTTTATAGTCTTTAGAATCAGGAAATGTGCAGTGAATTCAGGGCTTTAGTTCATTGACCAGCTTCCTGTTAGCAAGCCTGTACCTTGCTGAGTGGCCAGAAACCAATGACCGGGCAGCTCGTGGTCCGAAACAAAAGAAGCCAGCTTTTCGAACAATGCATCTTACACATTTTCTGATCTCTTTCTAGGAAGAAACCAATCCTGCTTGTGCACGGTGATAAGAGAGAAGCCAAGGCACACTTACACGCCCAGGCAAAGCCCTACGCAAACATTTCCCTCTGCCAGGTAAGCTGCCTCCCGCCTTGACCTCAGGCTCAGTCTGCGAGTCTTTGGATCCATCCTCCCTCACGGCAGCCATTCCCTCTTTAGTGTTACCAACAGATACTTAACATGTCTTACTGTGGCTTAAACACTCCTGAGGAAACTCTCCATTAAGCAGGGACACCCATGTCAGGAAGACTGTTTTCTTTATCTTGATTTGAGGTCTTCCTTCTAGGGGCTGCTACATGTTGGTCCAGATTTCCTGCTTTCTGGGACAACACAGCACAGGTCATCTCTTGCTGGCAAAGATTCCTGTGTTTGAGGCCGGCTGTCCTATTCTTGTAGGGCGTCTCAGAGCTAAGCTTTCTCCACCGTTGTTTGTACTCAGTGCAACATCTCTACTAGGGCCAGCCAGCTCTCGGTTGTGCTTGGTTTGTCCTGTGCTTCTTGCAACCTGGATTTCAGTATGGGCCTGTTTTCCTGATGCAGTCCAATGGCTTTGGATCCCTTTCTCTGAACGCAGCTGATTATGTGCTTCTGTGACACCTGTGACTTCTGTTAGCCACTGACACTTTAATTGTCCTAAGTTCTTTTTCACGTAAGCCAGAGAAATATAGAGACCCATAGCACTTGAGGAGGCAGAGGCAGGCAGATCTCTATGAGTTTGAGGCCAGCCTGGTCTATACAAAGTGAGTCCAGGACAGTCAAGGCTACACAAAGAAACCCTGTCTGAAACAACAACAACAACAAATAAACAAAAAGCCTGCCTAGAAACTGAGATCCCAGCTCAGTGACCTCAAGTGACCATGATTGCCCTCTGCTCGGTAGTCAGCCTGCAGAATGACTGATGGGTCTTGGGCATGGTATAGCAGTTCCTTTATCCTCCATGTCTAAAAGGATGTCTTTTAGAGATTCCTGAGCAACAAGCAGACAAATAGGAAGCAAAGGGATTAAGGGGAATTTCTAAAACTCTTTTCTCTCTTTAACTGTAAAGTAGCAGGTAGAATATTCACTGTTTCTTGCCTATCAGCGTGATTACCACCCATTCTCAAGGAGCCATAGTGAAACACGGCTACAGTTTTCCCTCCCGGTCTTCACTGTAGTAAAGGGGGTGCAAGGTGTCTGGTTTTGGCCTGGCTAGAAGTACTTCCTACACAAGCTTGGGGACCCAAGTTTAATCCCTGCACCCACTTTAAAAGCCACATGCACACCTGTAACCCCAGTATTCTGAGAGGGGAAGAGCCCTGGGGCTTGTTGGCCGCCAGCCTGTCTTCAGGCTCAGTGAGAGGCTCTTTCTCAAGAGCACAGGAAGTCAGCCTCTGACCGCAATCACGTGCGTGGTTGTGTATACTGCATGTACCACATACGATGTGTACACACCAGGATTTCCGCTCTTAAAGCAGAGATGTGATATCTGGATCCTTTTCTTTGCAATTGTCCTTCTAGGCTGTCTTTCTTCACTCACGATATGAGAGTTTTGATTATGCTTCTTCCAGCTCTAAATCTGTGTTTTTTGTTTTTTATTTGTTTGTTTGTTTGTTTGTTTGTTTTAAGAGAAAACAATTGGTTCGGATTTAAACACCTCACTGCATTTTTTTTTTTTTTTTTCTGATTCAACCCATTGCACATCATATCACTGAAGCTTCAAACCATGCATTCTGGATTGTGGGTGTAGCTCAGTGCCAGAGTGCTAGTCTAGTATCCACAAGGCCTGGGGTTCCACCTTCAGTATCATTAAGTAAATCCTCTTCCACAAAAGGTGTTGTAGTTCATCTTATGCACTGAGGTATCTTTATGCCTCCGTTTACCTAAAGTTCTGTTGCTCGATTTGATTTCCACCAACAGAAGAGGTTACAAAAAGTAAACTGCTGCAGGACTCCTGAGAGCCCATGATTAAAGAGTCCTCAGACAACAGCAACTGATCGCAGAAGAGAGTCTTGCACCCGAGAGCAGGGCGGCCACTGGAGGCATAAGGACACATTCTCTCAAACCTGTGCAAAGCCCCTTACAGGAGAGCCTCACTGTCCATCAGTAGTTCTCAACCTTCCCTGACGCAGTGACCCTTCATTACAGCTCCTCAGGTTGTGGTGACCCCCGACCATGAAATTATTTTCACTGCTACGTCATAACTGTAATTTTGCTACTGTTATGAATTGTAGGGTAAATATCTCTGTTTTCCAATGGTCTTAGGCAACCCAGTTGACTCCCAAAGGGGTCGTGACCCTCAGGTTGAGAACTGCTGTTCTAAGTGGGAAATGCAAGATAATTGTGGCCCCACCCTGTCCTCCTGAAGTGCCTTTCCATCTTGAGTTTTTCTGGTAGTCACATGCATCAAGGAACCAGCTGGGTATATATTTAGTGCAAAGGCTGGAAATTGAGGTGACAGTGGTGGTGAGGACTCACTTCCCCCGAGTCCTGCCTCCGGGCTATACCTGGGCTACCATAACAGCATTTATAGATGGAAGACATTTGTTTGGACTGTGCAGCTTAAATAACAGACACCTAGGAAGCTGAGAGTTTGGATCATAGTACAGACCACACAGTCCTTGACGAAGGCTCTCCTCCTGCCTTGTAGATGACTGCTCTCAAGATATCCTCCATGGCAGAGATTGGTGGGGGTGCACTAGCAGTCTGGTATCTGTGAGCACACTGATCGTTTTGTACACACTCACTTCCTATGACCATCAAGTCCCTCTCACTAGACACGGACACATTTGGGTCTGGGCTTGGATGTGTGAGTTGAAGGGTGAGTCTGGCACAAAGGTCCACTCCATGATGCTCATTCTGGCCTTGTCACTTCTCATTTGTTTATATCTAATGTGTGTGTGTGTGTATAAACTGGATTGCTAATGGCATTCATTACAGCATTTGAAAGAGATGGTGCATTAGCCAAAAATAGCACTCATTAAAGAGTATCCACTGAAGATACTTTCAGCCCTGTTTGTGCTTAGTCTTGCCTGAAAGCATGTAACATGTAGCCAAACTAACCTTAGAAGCCGGTTCTCTTAACCACTGTTCTTTCTCAGTACCAAAAAAAAAAAAAATCAGCTGATAACTGATTTTGTAATTTTAAAGACATGAGGTACAGTTCATACCTTTTTTCTCTAGCCAAAAAACACAAATGCATGCTGGGATACATGTATCCCCGAAGTTCAAGGAGCTGTTAGGAGCATCCACAAACTGTACGGTACCTACTTTGGGTGTTCCTGTTGTCCATCTCTGCCTGGCAGCCAGTCCTGTGCTTCCCCGGTGGTGGGGAGAGGCCACAGTGATTGCTTACAACAAACAGGCCTCTTTCCTAAGCACATATACATTATTTTCTTAGCCTCCTCTGACAGCTCCACATCTCATAACAATAGCCTGTTTTAATCAGGCAAAAGCAAAATCGTACAACATAAGGTTTTTTTTTTTTCAAAGTCAGTCAAATTTGTGACTGTGAGGCAGGATTTGCGCCCAGGTAGTGTACTGCTAAATGATCGCTGAGCTCATTGTTTATTCCATAGGCTGTTCTTTCGGCACATTCTGCCTGACCAGGGTCTCCCTGTGCTACATGTTAGATAAAAGTGTTCTACTTTCAGCATACCTGCCCTTACTTGTAAAACTGTCGTTGGGCAATACAAGGCCATTTGACATCATTTATTTCCAGCTTTAACTGCCTTTCTCTTTTAACTTAACATTATAATGTCTTTATGTTGCCACTGCATTCAATGCTATTTTAAATGTGTTCTTAAAACTGTGTTCATATTAATTTTTCAGTAGAAGCCAACTATCTCAGTTTAGGCTTTATTTAGAATCACATTTACTTTATTATTTTTGGCAACTAAAGAAATTGTGCCTCTCACTCATAATTACTATAATTAAAAATGTAGTATGTATTAAATCATATTGGATAACCAAAAAAAGAGAGAGAGAGACAGAGACAGAGAGGCTTTAAATGAGCCTTCGTGTATGCTGTGGTAAAAGCATGCCTTCTGTTTGTCCAATAGAGGGCAGTAAAACAGCTGTTTTTAAAGCTTTGGCTTCATCCCTTCCCCATTTCATTTCCAGTAGATATGAATATTAAGCATTAAGTGAGACTCTTTCAAATCAATTACTTTTTTTCTGTCCTAGGCGAAGTTGGATATTGCATTTGGAACACACCACACGTAAGCAACTCTGACGAAATGGGGGAAGGTCCGATTTATTTGGTCAAAGGACACAGTCAAGGAGCCTTCAGACCTGATGTCAGATTTAGTTTGTCATCTTGGAAGCAGGGAGTCTATGACTGGGAGGGCTCTACCTTCTGCTCACGACATCTGGCTGCCGGAAGCCAGAATTTCAAGAGTGGTCCTTGTAGTTCTATACAGTTCTGTGTCACAAGTCAGTGCTTATGGTGTCTCCTGCTTTTAAAAACTTCCATGATTTGGCAAGAATGAGTTATATTGAATTGTCTATTATTAGTCGGCCCCATACTCTGATTAACAGAAAACTAATTTTACCAAAAGCTGCCAGTTTGCAAGGCCTGTCCCAGCTCCACTGGGCTCCTCTGAGATGTCAGTGGCAGACAGGAAAAACTGGCTCTCTCCTTCCTGTCTTACACATTGTACCATGACAGCTCACACCGTTTTTCTTAACTTGGCTTTGCAGCAGTTTCACTGAGTCTTTTTAGAGTAATTTGGCTTTACAAGTGAGAAAAGCAAAACAAAATGTGGTTGTCCTTATTTTAGTATTTTTACAAATCACATTTCTCTGGAAAGGATTTGTCAAAAGACTGATAAAGCCTCTTCTTCTTTTCAAACCAGTAGTGGAAGGGGGGTTGGCTTGCTGCCCCCAGTAGGAAGCAATCTGCCAGCAGGGAGTGTTGGTCCTCAGTCTGGCCTGACACTGCCTCCTGCTTAAGCCATGACCTGAAATGACAGTATTGTGGCTTCTTTTACTTTATGTGCATAAAACAGTATTTTTGCTAGTGTAATGTGAAAAGGAGCCAGAGTAGAAACAGTTAGGCCTCTCCACGAAGCAATAGCTCCATTATCTGACTTTAATGTCCTGAGTAGATAGGGTGACATCTGCAGACCACCCCTAATGGGTAGCTCTTGTTAAAGAACAGGATTTGATGATTTAGAGTGAACTCAAGTACTGACTCATGCATAAAATATTCATTTTCTAGCTCTGAACTCACAGAATGCAACCAGTTTCAGCTCAGAATACAAATTGCCATCACTGTGGGCAGCTTAGCCATAATGCAGGTCACCAAACAGGAAGTCCTTGTCTCCTCCCCTTAGCTGAAACCCCAGGATAAATACATCCTTGGTTCTCTGGGATCACTTTTAGGTCACCAGTGCCAGGTTTCCGTGCTACCGTGGGGTCTGTGCTGAATGCTGAGTTTTCCAAGTGAAAAGCCCCGGTGTACCTCTGGGCTAGCAAGCCCCGGGGGAGCTTGTGCTGTCATCTGCCAGTTATGCTGCCACTCCTGGGAAGTAGTGGAGGCTTCAGAAGGCCTGCTCAGAAGCTGGCATGGCGGTGCTTCACTGTGAATGGAGCAGGGAGCGAGCAGACAGAAAGTCTCCTTTGTTTAATCCTGTCAAAATTATCAGGTTCTTTTAATATCATTCACGGGAAAACTGAGACGTAGAGTAAATGAGTTTACCTTCCTTGGGGATGAATAGGACTAGAACTCATTTTTAACTTTAGTTTTTAATTTGTTTCTGTTTGCTCACGGCTCCAATTGATGTCATTATTTCCTTTGCCCCATTCATCCCTTGCTTCTTAGAGGCACTCACACATGCACATTTTATGAGTTCAATCTAATAGTTCTCAATTCAAAGAAGTCATTGCAGTACAACCCTTCCCAGCTAGAGAGTATCCATGGTCTACACTTTGCTGAAATGTCAGTATCTTGCAAAGGATCGAGCTCATATCTGGAAATTGTGGCTGTTTATTATTTTAAGAATTCATCAATCCAGAAATGATGCCACATACATGCCTGTAATCCCAGCTCTTAGGGAGGTCAGGAGTTCAAGGCCAGTCTTCATAAGATTCCCCCTGTCACTGAAAATCAACAAAAATTATTCATCAAATACCAGAATGTTACTGAGTCTCAAGTCTGGAGGATGTCATTTTTGTCCTTGTAGCTTTTCATCCTTTGTTGAAAGCACAGAGCATATATGTGAGGTAGAAAAGGAGAAAACCCCAGCTCGTGGTGATGGGGAAATGACTGTCTTCCCAACCTAGAGCTAACACAGTGACTGTGAGGCAGTTCCTGGGACAGCACATGCCTGAACAAGCATGCACTGAGCAGGCGATTGGCCGGGTACCGTGTGCAGAGCACATAGAAAGAGCCAGGATTCCACTCCTTCTACAGAGCTCATCCTCAGCAAGCGCTAGATGTATTCTATCCAGCACCTATAAAGTGCACGACAATCCCAGGCATGGTATGTTGCATGGGACTTTAGAATGGAAAAGCTCTTCGGTTTTCCCCAGAGTCGGGCAACTCTGATGGCTCTCAAGCATTAATAGGGAAAAGCAACACAGCAGAATGGACAGTGTCCCCATCTAAGCAGGAGCCAGCCATAGCCTTCAGGGGCATGCTTCTTCTCCCCAACTTCTCCAGCTTGTCGTCTTTCTCACCAGGACCTCAACTCCCACTCATTTTCTAGTAGCATACAATGTTCACCATCCCTCCTCTAGCCATGTCAGAAGTGCACAGAGGGCCCTGGCTTGTGGGCATATGTGACTTCAGTCATCTTCTACAGGCTCATTTGGAGACCTAGACGATAATCCCTTTCCTCCAGCCACAGATTCTGCATTGTAAAATGAGAATACTACTTCTTCTTGACATGTGCTAGAGCATCCAAAAACAGTGCCTGACATGGCGGTGCCTCATGTGTACTTCCTTGCTTCTTCATAGCCCACCTTCACATTTGGAAAGTAGCCCTTTTGCCATGCCCACTGCTCAGGGACAGTACTGCAGGTCCACCTCTTTAAGGTGCATCTCTATTCCTTGTCTTCCTGTATTTTTAACTGTGATCTTATTAACACACATAATGCTGCCTATGAATAAAGATTAATATGTCTCCCCTTAAGTTAATTCATAATTCTGTTTGATAGGATTCACTGACATTGATATATGGTTTCCTCGTAATTGATGCCTTGATTAATGGAAATATTTGTAAAGCTTCTATCATGAATCCCTAGCTGGCTTATCCTTAATTATAATCAACTGCTATGTGGCAACTGAGTGTGTCAATTTGCCCAGATTTCAGAAACTCCATTTCATAACTACGGAGAAGATGGCTCAGCAGCTGTCATTTCTTGAGCCTTGCATTAATTTGTTGCCTGCCGGCTTGAAGTTCTTACTCCTTTTGGCAAGGACTAAGTATCTTCTTTTTTTCTGTTCCTGTCTTTTCCCTTATCCTTCCCCTCTTCCCTTTCTTTTAAGAGGCAGGACCTCACCTCAGACTTCAGTCACAGCCCAGCCCAAAACTCACAGGCACACTCCTGCCCCAGCCTCCCAAGTCACAGTACAGGCATGTGCCACCATGCCTTCCCGTTTCCTTCCCTTTCATGTGCCTCCTCCTGTTAGCTGAGACTCTCAGGGTGGCTTATTCGGGGAGAAACAGAGGTTCATTGTTATCATACGTGTCAGCTGAGTTACGTGGAGTAAAAGCATTTTGGCCTCAGCAGAGTTGACAAACTAAGTCAAGACAAGAATTTCAGTCTTGAGAAATGACACTCTAGGTCTAGAGAAAGGGCTTAAAGTCCCTTAGTAACAATCTACAGATAGAACAATCTCCAGATAAAAGTCACCCAGCACTTCTTACAAAATGAGGCTACTAAAAGAGAATGACTGCCAAGTCTTTAACCTTTACATTGTGTACTTTGATTTCATTTTCATCATCCCTAAGCTGAGCTTGATCCTTCATGAGCCATGTGAAAAGAGGAGGCTCAGGCATACCAAATGGTTTAGCAAAGCTCATGTGACTTCTAAAGGACAGACTCAGGTCCTCAGACTTCACATTGAGAACTCTCTCGTGTGTATATATATATATATATTTTTTTTTTCTTCTCTCTCACTGGAAATAAAGTTAAGAAAATATGCTTAGTGATATGAGAAGCCCCAATAGAAAGAAGGCTCAGCCCAGTCTCTCTTGAGTTCATGGAGGAGAAAAGAGAAGACTTACTGCAAGCCCAGATACACAGTGATGACAAGTATGGCACATGGAATACATCTCTGATCAGGACAGGGCATCTTGTAATATTAACTACAACCGTCAGTAAGAAATTCATTTTACACCTTCAGTATACTGCATGTGTGCACGCAGCCATAGGCTGAAACAAAGGCTTCCCGAGCTGAGACTTTAAACACAGGCCGTATGTATTTCAGTTGTTTGAAACATGCTGGCGTGTTACACAGCAGGAGGTTCTGCTCCTACCTTGCTTGCAAAATGCAGGGCAAGGATGTCCCTGTGGTCATCATAGTGAAATGATAGCCACGGATACTAAGGGGGAAGGGATGTGAGTTCATGACCCCCAGATATTCTGAGCCTTTTTGGAAGATGGCTTTCTGCATGTCACTGTAGATTTTCAGAAGACAGTGTGTAGAAGGGGAGTTGGTGATGATTGAAAGTTTGGATATTATGAGAGGCCAACCATTCTTCCAGCTTTTTCTTAAATTCTCACTAGGAGATCTGTTTCTTTGAAAAGCTGTTCATGACCTTGTTCGCCTCACTCTCTTTGAAGGAAAATGATGCTCTTGCTCTACGAAGAAGGCCTCCGAGTCGTCATCCACACCTCCAACCTCATCCGGGAAGACTGGCACCAGAAAACCCAAGGGTTCGTAGAGCCATGCATTGCATGGCAGTCTTTTGTGCTGGGAAAGGGCGGAAGCAAAAGCTATTCAATTTCTTCTTTTTCTTTCTGTTTTTCTACTTGTAATGTCCATGTGCCTAGAAAGAGGCATACCAGAAATAGTCTGTGTGTGTGTGTGTGTGTGTGTGTGTGTGTGTGTGTGTGTGTGTGTTATTTTTCCTTCAATGCAAAGCAAGTGCTCTACCTGAGCCATGCCCCCATCCCCACAGTACTTCCAGGCCTCCATCCCACTGTCTCCTGAGGTAGTCACTGTTAACAGCCTGATGCAAAATCATCCATAACTACCACTGGTGTACAGGAATAGTTAAGTTACATGCAGGTGTTTTGTAAAATTCATCTATTTGTTAAAGTCTCTATTATTGTTTGAAAATTTCACACATCCATATAATTTTTTTCTTTAAATCAAATCTGCCCCCTAGTCTGTCCCCTGTCCACTCCCACCACTTTCCCTCTAGACGTCATAAGCTCTTTTTTTTTTTTTTAAAGCCACCTGAGTTCATTTAGTGCTACCTGCACTGCGTGGGAGGAGGAGCACCTGCTGGGAGGGGAGGGCAAGGCAGAGAAGTAAGTTTGGATGGGTTGTTTAATCACCGTGTTTATGTTTGTGTGTCAGTCTGGGCACACATGTACCACCACACACATGTGGAGATTAGATGGCAGCCTAGACTGTCAGTCCCCACCTTCACCCTTGTTTGACATGGGGTGTCTTATTCTCTGCTGTTATATACCCCAGGCTAGCTGGTCCACAAGTTTCTGGAGATTCTCCTATCTCTACCTCCCATCTGCTGCTTGTCACATCTCACTGTTGCCCTAGTCTGGAACAGAGCTACTGTACACAGTCATGCTTTCACAAGCTTCTGAGCCTCAGTAACCCCGTGGGTTGAGCTGAAATAAGGAGCCTTCCAGCTCAGCCTCTGGGCCTGCTTTGACCTGAGTCTGGGTTCAATTTTCCATGTTCCTCTTAAACTGTGCTTCTCAGAGTAGTGCTATTCTGACTCCCACAGGAGCGAGGAGTCTCTGCCCTGTCTCTTAAAAAACCTTGGCCGCAGGGGTTGCTCTTCTCTATCATCATGTCCCCTGAATATAGAAGCCCTTTCTCTCTCACACACACACACAACTCTTTTTTTTTTTCTTTATTTTAGATAGAATCTTTTATGTAACTCATGCTGTTTGGGAAAGTGACTGTATAGCTATATAACCCAAGCTGGTCTTGTACTCTTAACCTTTTTGCTTTGCCTCGCAAGTGCTGGCTAATGGGACTCTCTTGATTGTCTGAGTCCTTTGTCCGCTCTGCCCCACTGCCCAGGGAGATCTTAAGGCAAGCCTCTCTGAGCTGCTGACAGGGCCTGGGGACTCATATGCAACCCCATCAGAACAGGAAGTAACGTTTAGATAAGTGTGTTCCTAGTGAAACAGGGATTATGAAACTAAACAGATTTGTGAAGGTGGTTCCCAGTCTTCGGTGGCTCTCAGAACCCCACCAGTGCCTCTGGCTCATTCTGGAGCTGTGAACTTGAATTTATGGGCAACAGTGCTTCCTGAGGCTCCTCAAGTGATTGCCAGGAGAGACTCAAAGTGAAAGATGTGACATTTCCCTCCAGCCACCCTAATATAGGTCCCTGTTGCTCTGTGCTTCTTCTGCTCTTGATTCTCTCTAATACTTGATGGTTTCATGTTGTGATAATAAAATATATGTGTAAGAAACCTCGAAAGGGCACAGGGGAGATGGTCGAGTGGCTAAGAGCACTTGCTACTCATTCTTCTTGTGTAGGTCCTAGGTTTGGTGTCTACCTCCCACATGATAACTCACAGCCATCTGGCTGCGTCCTGCAGTTCCGGGGGTCCAACACCCTTCTCTGACCTTTGCAGGCCCTGCACACACATGCAAATGTTCATGCACAAGAAATAAAACAAAAACCTTTAAACAAACCAACAAACCTTTAAAGGCACTTTTTATGCAGTCTCCCTTTATCAGTGGTCTGCCTCAGCCATGCTCATTCTCGGCCGTTGCTTGAACACCCATTCAGGTCATACACTTCATGTCATCTGTTGGTTCGAGAGTTAGCTCAGTAGTTAAGAGCACTGGCTGCTCTTGCAGAAGATTCAAGGTAATTCCTAGCAGCAGCACCAGGCAGCTGCCAACTGTCTGTAACTCCAGTTCAAGGACTCTAATGTCCTTTTCTGGCTTCTGTGGACATGTACATGCATGTGGTACACATACCTACACTCAGGCATACACACACATAAAACAAAATAAAAAATTTTAAGTAACTATTTAAAAATAAATCAAAAATTCAAATGGTTTGCTCCACTGTAGTGTTCTCATATTCTTTCACAAAGTATTTTAAAATGCCCCCTTTCTCAGTATCCTCGTTTAGGAAGTTACTTCCTGCCATGGTCCTCCTCCAGAACGTTCCTGTTGGTGAACCTTCATCTTGGGCTCAGAGATGTCTGTGGGAGGAAACCTCACACATCTAGCCTAGCTGATCACTTTACACCCAGAGACAAAGAAAGTCCCAGAGATGTTAGAGGGCCTGCCTACAATGGCAAAGCCAGCTCGAAGCAGATGTGCTCCAGATGTGGGCTCCAGCCTTAGGCAGGCCTGTCTTTCCTATTGCCTCGTATGGCTCCTTGCAACTGCCCTTTGAGGCTGAACTCTTAATCTGGTTTTACCCTTGAAGAACTTGTAATCCTAGAGGCTTGAAGCCATACTATTTTTGTAATCTACCTGTATCGCACTGTATTGTATCTATTGGGCTTAGATGCGGTTATTTCCCACTTATAGGCATGTCGTAGAAGGGCAAATGCATGGTTTCTTTGGGGGAAAGGAATTGATGAGATAAGGATGTAATGTTTTATCACTGGTAAGGGCTTAGCTGTTCGAGGCTCATGTTAAATGTGCTACATACTCATTCTAGGCACCAGAAAGTATAAGATATAAAAATATCTCAAACCACTACAGAATGTACATTACAAAAAAAGAGTTTTCTTATTGAAAATAAACTTGCATGTATATTTTTCTTGGTATAAATAGCTTTTGATTCTTAATTTGGATAAGGACATGGCTTTACATAAAGAGATAGCATTCAGAAACACATCTGTGTTGGGGAGTTTTTGGATCAGTGTGATCAGATCTGTCTCCTCCTGCCAGAAATCCCTCCGTCACCATGTAAAGACAGTGGCGAGAATTCACCCCTTGCTTGGATGAATGCATAACCTGTGCAAGGCCATTGTTACAGTAAGAGTTGTTAAGATCTTTTTTTTTCCCCTCACAGGATATGGTTGAGCCCTTTGTACCCGCGCATCAACCAGGGAAACCACACGTCTGGAGAGTCACGCACCCATTTCAAAGCTGACCTCATCAGCTATTTGACAGCGTATAATGACCCCTCTCTCCAGGAGTGGATAGACACCATCCGAGAGCACGATCTCTCTGAAACCAAGTACGTGGCCCCTCCCCCACTTACAGTATGACAGGCTGTGAAAGGACTCCCGGCTTGCAAGCCAAATAAGTTGGGAATCCGGGGGGGGGGGGGGGGGGGGGCTTGGGAAGGAGCTGGGTGCTGTTTGACTGTGCTGATGAGGGCAATGGGGTGACAGCAGATGTGAGCACACGGTGTCTCATGGCTCACCAGGCCTCAAAGTGGTAGTAGGCCTTAACCCTCCCAATGGGGTGGTTCTTTCCGCAGCACCCAGGTGTCCTGCTTTTAACTGCTTTAGCTAAAAAAAAAAAAAAAATGAACTTCAGAGTAACAGTTACTATGAAGGAGGCATGGCCCTGAAACGAATTAGCTCCTTGAACTCTTTCCTTATGTCAATTTTAGTCTGTATTCTGTGGGTTTAAGGTGTCAAAACACAACTTGCATGTTATTTTACTGTATTTTACTTTATTCAGTGTTTACCTTATTGGTTCAACCCCTGGACGCTTTCAAGGAAGTCACAGAGATAACTGGGGACATTTTAGGCTTAGGAAGGTAACAAAACTTTTACTATTTTTAACATTTAGAGTAATCTAATATGTGTTCTTTCTCTCTTTTAATTTATGATTTTTAATTTATGATTCCCCCATCCAAATCCTAAATACAAGCCTTGTAGTCTTGACTTGTTCCTCAGCCTGCCTCTTAAGTGGGTGTAAAATCAAATGTTCTGTAAGCCCGGGGACTAATGGTGAACTAATGGTGTCCAGCCTAGGTAATAGCATGCATTTGTGTGATCACAAATCCTGCACGTTGAGTAGCATCTGTAGTTTTTAAGTCACTTCTCATCACAGCTCACGCTGCATCGAAGCTTAGTTCCAGGGCAAGCTGGCAGATGAGAAATGCCTGAGATGGAAGTCGTAACGCAGGGCTTCTCTCAGTTCTTGAAGCTTCTCAGGAGCTGAGATCACAGAAGAGACTAAGACTGGGAGCTTTCAGTTCAGTTCTGCTTCCTGCAGCACACTGCAGCACATGGAAATTGAGAACGTGCGTGCGTGTGTGTGTGTGTGTGTGTATTAATGCCTAAGCTGTGGAGAGGAAGAAAGGCAACACATATTAGTTCCACTGGGAGAGGAGCCATCTGCATTCTTCTTGCTGCCTGCTGCCTCTAGGTAGTACATGTTTCTATGGATTAAAAACTCCAAATACTTCCTCAGTTATTCCTCAGTTTGCGTAAGCGTCAAGACAGGAAATGCATATTAATCTTCTGCAGTGCCTTAGGTGGTTCAGGTCCGTATGTCAATATCCCTCATGTTAGACAGTCACACTGGAGGCCCAGGATTTTGTCTTTGCTTCCACCCCTCCCTCAGGTCCTTGCACATGCTAGGCTAGTGCCTACCCCAACACAACTACACCCAGCCCCGAGTGCAGGGCTGAAACAAGAGCTAGATGCTCTGTTCAAGGGAGCAAGAGTGCACACTGGTTTCATCGTGTTGGTTTACTTTATATACATCAGACAGTTGTGAATTCAGGGTGGGTTTATCTTGCTATCTCTGCTAAGATAGGCCTTTAAAAAATGTTTTATTCTGCTTTTGTATTTACTGCAAATCAAAGACTTTTGAAGATACCTTGTTCACATAGCAGGTTTTTTTGTTTTGTTTTGTTTTGTTTTGTTTTTTTTAAAAAAAGGTGCTTTTGGTATTTAAAAAATAGTTTTCAAAGATGGAAAAAAGTATCTGCAAGCATGGTGCTGATTGCTGAAGTTTTCAGGGCTCCCTTGCCTGTTAGGGCATTGCAGTTATCACTGTTACTGCTGCAACTGTTGCATGCTTTCTTTTTGGAGCAGCTTCTGCAGGCACATGCCCCATCTGTACCCAGAGGCGAGTGCTGGCCCATCGTGGGTCAGTTTTCAAGCATTGGCTCCCTGGGCCCTGATGAATCGAAGTGGCTGTGCTCAGAGTTTAAAGAGAGCTTGCTGGCGCTGAGAGAGGACGGCAGAACTCAAGCAAGAAGTGTGGTTCCTCTTCACCTGGTGAGCCCTCTTTCTCCCTTCTGCTGTACTACAGAAGAATCAAGAAACAGCCTCCCTTACCTCAGTGCTTTAGTCTGATGAGGGGCAGGGAAGCTTAACTTGTTTTTGTGGTCCTGGGTGCGACCCTAGGCGAGGGCTTCAGTTTGTTCAGGAGCCTTGTTGCAGCCACAGACTTGCTGCGCTCTTCCCATTCTTTCTTTCAAGTTGTCAAGCCAAGGGAAGAAATAACCAGGTATACCACTGCAGCAGAATCATAAGCTCGTTAATTACGCAGAGCCCTGTAAATTAACAATTAGTCTTCCATTTAATTCAATATTAATTTGGCATTTCAGAGGGAAAAGCATTGAAATTAAAATGTACTTTGTCATTAGTTATTTACATGCTTCTTGTAGCTTAGTCACCACTTCAGTTATTTTTCACTAAGTTGGAGGTTTTCTTTGAATTTAAGATGTAATTTCTTTCTAAATCTTTTAGCTTAACATTTGTCATTAAAATTTTTATTTTCTTAATAAACTAGTCAACATTCCTTTCTTTCAACATGATTCATGCCAAGTTTTATTGTTTTTCTCTTTTCTTGCTTACTTTCAGATCTACCCTTCTGTGGAAAACGTGCGGACCAGCTTAGAAGGCTATCCCGGTAACTTCTGGGGACTCAGCTGTGGTTTCTCTGGATCTTCCCGAAATGCCTTGGGGCATGTTTTATTTCGGTTTTGTTTTGTCACCACAATTGGTTAGATATGTAGAATGGTTTTCTCTCATTCAGGTGAAGCTAATGAAGCAGGTGTTGTTGAGCTCTGCAGGATTCCAGAGAAGGGAATTCAGACACACTGGTTCACCCCCATAGGAATTCCATGTAGTGGTTTTCCTCAGTTTTACTAGTAAGGCATCCAGCATGTTGGTTGCCAAGACAAGATGTCCCACCAAAGTGAACTCCATGACACCCACTGCTTCCTTGACAGCTTGGCTGACATCCTTCCCTCTGTCCTGTCTGAGGCTCTGTGTAGTCCTTCCAAATGTAACTCCCGGACACAAATACATAAAAGACCTAGAGTCCATGATTACAGTTACCTTTTGTGTAGTTCAGTTGCTACGTCATTTTTTAGGAGATTTATCTGCAAATTTCCAGTCTTATTTTCTAAAACTCTGTCAACTTTATTCTTTATTTTCCTTTTTCCACTGTTGAGCACTGAACGTTTAAACAAAAGCACCCTCCATAATGCCAACAGGTTATTAACAAAAGCTCCAGAGAGCAGGTCTCAGGAAGAAACTAAGTCTGATTGGCATTCACTACAGGCTGGCAGCAGAATGCACTAAATTATGACTAATTTTGCTCATTTATTGCTTATAAAATTAGATGTGACCTTGCCAAAAGAATCTCAATAAAGTTCAGAGTGTATTTGCCATTTGTTGATTTTTAATGGCAAAATAAAATTACTTCCCTTTGACTCTGGGACATGGGTAGGTTTTCTTTCTGTACTTCTAATAGGCTAGATCTATTCAAAGTACACTTAATGGGAGAGAACGTGGCATTTTCAATGAAGCAATTTTATAAGTGGTTCTAAAATGGAATATGTTTTTAGCTATTTGCAGTAGGAGACAGGGCATACCTTATTGGACGTTGGAGTTGTTTAAAGCCTTCGCTGCACATAGATTACTGTTGGGAAGTGCCAAGGTGTGTTTGGAAAGTCAGTGATGAATCTACAGTGGATTTTTTTTAAGTAAAAAAAAGGCAGATATGTTTGCCGAATGTTTTCATTTGTTTCCTCATCTCCAGAGTCTGTAAGAACCTCCTCTGAGGTGGGCGTAATGGTGCACACCTTTAATCCCACCACCTCAGATGGCTCTCTGAGTTCGAGGCAGCCTGGTCTCTAAAGCGAGTGCCACGACAGCACGGACTGTTACACAGAGAAATCCTGTCTCAAAAAACAAAAACAAACGAACAAAAAAGAACCTCCTCTGCCTGCATGGAAATGGCCAGTGTAGGCAGGACTGGGTTTGTCATTCACTGCCTCCCCAGATGCCTGCCTGGGACAAAAAAAAACCTAATGATGTTCTTCATACCTGCCTATGATTGTAAAACAGGCCCAGAGTCTTCCTGTGGTCTTTTCTAAAGATTTTTTTTTATTATTATTTACACAGTATTCCGAATGCCAGAAGAGAGCACCTGATCTCATTATGGATGGTTATGAGCCACCATGTGGTTGCTGGGAATTGAACTTGGGACCTTTGGAAGAACAACCAGTGCTATTAACCTCTGAGCCATCTTTTCAGCCACCCTGTGGTCTTTTCTAATACTTCAAATGTGTGTAGATTCTTGACTCAATATCTTTTCTTTTCTGATAGTAAACTGTTTATATGTTTCTTTTCCCTGAGGAAAGAAGCCCATGAAGAGAATGTACCTAATTTGATTCTGGTAGTGTAAGCCTTTGATCCCAGCTACTCTGGAGGTTGAGGCAGGAGGATCACAAAATCAAGGCCAGCCTGGCCTACAGAGTGAGATCCAAGCCTCCCTGGGCAACTTCATAAGACCATAAATAAAAAGTAAGAAGGGTGCTGGTTATATAGCTCAGTGGTAGGGCCCTTGCCTAGTCTGGATGAGTCCCTAGGTTCAATCCCCAGTACCAAGACAGAACCACAAACACAGAGAAAGATCATGTGCCTAATATAAGTGTAGAAGATGAAATAATGGAAGCAGCTGGCTTCCATTTAATTTACCGTCTCACTATTTATAGCGATTTTCTGCTTAATGAAGATGCCTCAAATTATATTTCATTATTTTTATTTGTTTTCTCTTCTCTCCTTTGAAAGCTGGAGGCTCTCTTCCCTATAGCATCCAGACAGCTGAAAAACAGAATTGGCTGCACTCCTACTTCCAGTAAGTAACTGGTTCTCAATGCTGCTCTTACTTCATTAGGAACAGGAGTGTTATGTCAGTCTGTTTGTTTGTTTTTTAAAGTACCTTATATAATACAACTATATTCTTTCATCTGCTTATGCTAGTGATAGAAATAATTTAAAACAAGATTTTGAAAAATTTTTGGAATAGGTTTTTAATACCAGAGTAAAATTTATCTCTGTGGAGTTTCTATTTAAATATTAGCAGACAAAGAAAAAGATAAATAAGAGCTCGTGTTGGGTAGTATATGGCGTATATAAGCAGCGCTTAGCTCACTTTACCGAAGCCTGAAGCATGACCCTCGTGGCTGTAGTAGTCAGGGGCCACACTTGGTGAGGGCAGAGCCCGTGCCTCTGTCGCCAGGATAAAGACGGTGTTTGGTGTGCCAGCAGAGCTCCCCAGACAAGGATGGGTGGGGAAAGAAAGGCTTGTCCTTTTCCTCCTCCAGCTGCAGCACTTGCTTGTCCCGAATGTTCCAGACCAACCCCAGGGTCTGACTCACTTTGGTAGTGGCTTGTCAACTCGGCAGCCAGAAACGAGAGTACAGTCTGTTTCTGTAGCCTTCTGCTGAGATCCGTGTTGGCCCGTGGCATGGCTGTCGTACTCTATCCTTACAGGGCACTTTTATGTTGTGCTCCTCACAGTTTCAGACTCCTGGGTTCACTCAGATGAAGAAAATGGTGGCGCTCTTCATCCTGACCCTGTGCTGGCACACTGCCTGTCAGCCTGAGGGATTATCCTCTTCCAAGCCAGAGTCACTGCCTCATGACAAGAGGCCGTTATGCCTTGGAACCTGAGTCCTAAAATGTTGGAAACCTAGAAGTAGCACTGAAAGCCAAAGCTAAAGCATTTCTGAATTCTCCTGCCTTTTTAGCGCTCACCTGTGGCATGCTGTATTTCACTCACTCTGTTTCACTGGAGAAGCGTCAGTGGGGACCCTATACGCTTCCTGCTTCCAAGAGCCCACAGCCCAGCCAGAGACCTGTGTACACACATGCGGAAAGCACAAGAAAACCAGTGTAGTGCACATATGTGTACATGCATGTGCGTGTACAAGTATGTAAAAGGACAAAAAACCCTATGTCCACGGGGTTTGATGCTTTTGTGGCTAGTGCGTAATTTTATTTTTATTTTTTTATCTTTTTGGCATCCTGACTTTTCAGAATGGTCGTGCATTCTTCTTTTGTCTGAACTGACTTTCATCAGCTACCACAGTGACAGACAGTGCTTTTGCTGCTGTCTTTTTAGCTAGGGCGTTGCCTTCATGCCATTGACTAGTGTGAGACTTTTGTCTGCCTTGAATTGCTTTCTAATTCATGGTTTATGTTTCTCCCGTCACCAGCAAGTGGTCAGCAGAGACATCCGGCCGAAGTAATGCCATGCCACATATCAAGACATACATGAGGCCCTCGCCAAACTTCAGTAAACTAGCTTGGTTCCTTGTCACAAGGTAAAGGGGCCTTCTATGTGTCTCATGGGAGGCCTTGTACTGTCCACTCTGAACAGAGTGGAGTCCTGAAAGTGTTCTGTGATATGCCATCAGTCTCAGCCTGCTTCAGTCACCGAGCCTTAAAGGAGGCTTGGGACTAGTGTCTTATTGAATTTGTGCTGGTTGCCTGATTTTTCTTGTCTATCGGATTTGCATAAACTTTAGATTTACTTTTTTTTCGATTCTGTAATAGTAATAACAGTGATTAAGCAAACTGGAATTTAGGGTGAATATAGAAGAAACATAAAATGTTAAAATTGATACTGTTTTATTAGAATCTCTTTAGATAATTAAAACTTGAGCAATCAGATCTCTTATGTGCCCTTTTAAAAACATCTTTATTATGATACAATTCACATACCATTAAAATCTATGCATTAAAGTCTGCAATTTAACAGTTTAAACATGTTTACAGACTTGCACAACCATCACCATAATCTAATTTTAGAATATTTTAATCACCCCTAAAAGGAAGTCCCTACCCATTGACATTTTGTTTCTCTCTCTCTCTCTCTCTCTCTCTCTCTCTTTTAAATAAATTGCTTTGCCCTTTGGAAAATTGAGCTGTGACTAGAACATTAGTACCTCCCTCCTAGTCAGAACTCAACCACTGGGCATCTCTGTGATTCAGTAACCTAATTGATGTCAATCACAACTAATTAAACTATCAGTGGGATTAGTGCTTTGAGAATGAAATGGCACCCAAGAACACACTTCTAAACAAAAGAACCATATCACTTTTTTTGCGGCTAACATTTGTGCCTGGGTCAAGTAAGAAACACTGACCCAAAGAGCTGATTGATAAGCATGATGACAGAGGGTGTCCTAAAGGATTTTGCAGCCTCAGAGCATAATGGGAAAACATACTTTTGAGTTCTAAAAATAAACATTCAGGATGCGTTTCCGCGAGATAACAGCTATATAAACTTGCGGAATTTATTTAGTCTGTTTCCTAGTCTATAAAAAGGAAGGGGTAATGGCTACATTTGGGGTTACTGTGAGAGTTAAGTGGAGTGACAGACTGAGTACCTGGAATGGAACAGGTCCTCTGTGTGGCGGCAGTGGCCATGTATGATGGAAGTGGCTGTACACTGTGGACAGACCTATATGCAGGAAAAATACTCATATGCATTAATTTTCATTAAAGAATGTCTGATCTGCCTCCTGATACTGAGCATCAGTAAGCAGCTTTCTACCTTTGTAATGGTATCCTTACCTTTCATAACCAACTCTGAAATTGTGTAGAGGCCAAGTAAGTCATCATCCTCTTTAAAATTATCCATTACTCAACATGTGTTTCTTTTCTTTTGTGTAGTCTTATTTTCTTATTTTATTGAAACAAGGTCTCATAATATATCTTAGACTGGCCTGAAACTCTCGGTAATCCTTCTCCTTCATCCTCCTCAGTGCTGGGATTACAGACATGCGCCACCATACCTGGTTCAGGGTGCATTTGGGGGGGGGGGCATATATATTACAGATCTCCTTGTGTAGCCTGGAACTGGCTGTGTAAAAAGATCAGCCTCAAACTCACAGATACCTACCTACCCCTGGCTCCTGAGTGCTGGGATGACAGGTGTGTGCTCACATTCAACATGTATTGCAGTAGGTAGTAAGACACAGACCCCACCATTTCTTCATTCAGGAAGTCTGGTGAGCCTACGTGTAGGATTGTGTGAGATGCTGTGGTTGAAAAATAGAACATAGTTGTTCATAAGGGTAGTAAGCAATGCCCTGTTTTATTCTACTACCTACTTGTCGAGAGGATTAAGTGTCCATCAAGACCTCATGATTATCGGATACTGAATTCTTCTCTCTGTTTCAGGCGTTTTCTGTATTTTATGTGAGGCAAGAAACAAAATACATACTCTAGTGTGAGTTTTCATTTAAGGTCTAAAGGGTAAGTGAGGCCAGAAGAATATTTGAGAGAGACAGAGACAGAGACAGAAAAAAAGAGAGAGAATCTGATCAGGCCTGTAACACATGAGATGTGTTTGGAGAATGTCTGAAAGGGTCAGAGAAAGTAGCCTTAGGAGGCCATGTTTATGCTGATACTGACTAAGGAGAATGCACCAGCCCAAGGAAGGAGGAACATACTGGTCAAAAGGAACAGCTCGAAAAGGCTGTCAAGCTGGAGAAAGTGTGGAATGTTGAGCTCCTCCTGTGCTGATATGCAGAGCTGAGCCGGATAACTGGAGGCCCTGAAGTGCGATGATATCATCTAATAAGTGTTGAAAGCTAGGTCAGGCTGCTGAGTGGAGAGTGGGTGGTTAGGAGAGAGTGGCTGTGGGCAGCTGAGTTGGGCAGTCTACAGAGCCTGTGCTGTTTATGGGGAAGAGCTGGTAGAAACAAGCTATTGGGGGGGGGGGGAACGACTCTGTGTAAAGCGTACTTCAAAATCTCCTTCAAGGAAACAGGTTGACCTGGTGGGCTACACACGGCTATAGAGCCAAGCCTACCACTTCAACTCAAACTCTTAGACTTTGTGAGTCAGTGAACCTCACCAAACACATTTCCTGAAACACAAAGCCAAGGCGCAAAAGTGCCCTGGTGGAGAGATGAGTTATACAAGCACCTGTCAACAGTGGCCAGCAAATGACAAGTGTCATTAAAGAAGCCAGAGTCTGAGGTAACAGTACCTATTTGTTGTACGCATGGGAAACAGCCGCTGCTGTTAGCAAAACTGTGCTAATCGCTCTTGACAGCAGCCCCTCAGTGTGTAAATTCACAGTGTGACAAGAACTGTGGAAACCTCAGACCCTTGATCCACCTGGGTGATCACTGCCAAAATGTCAGGCCCAGAAGAAACAGCAAGTGTGTGAAGGAAGGGGCAAGAGAGAGAATGGGCCCTTACTAAGCAGCCTCACTTGTCTATTTTGTTCATCTCAGAGTGTTTTGGGATGGCATGGGCCTCTTCAGGACGAGAAGTAAAGCTGTAGCATTCAGGCAGCTACACCAGGCACTCAGCATTGCCCATGTGGTGCTGTGGGAGCAGAGGAAAGCTGAGCTGAGCTTCTTCTCACTCCTATGGAATTTACACTTAAACGAAAGAGACTAGCCAAGCATGTTATTTGATCCTGTGACGCCTTCCTGACTATTCTGCATAGGAGATTCTTCTCCCTAGTAAAGCCTGAACTTGCAGTCATCCAGCACTTGACTTAAACATGGCTTCCTCAGCTGGGTGGAGTCTGCAGTCCCCTGGGCTTCTGCATCATCAACATGTCTTTCCCTTCTCTATAGCTATTTATGTGATTGCTGGCTTCCCCTCTAGGCTCTGAGACCACATCCATCTCTGTCTGGTTTAGCATATCCCAGCTCCTGGCGGGGAGCCTGACATGCAGAAGAAGATGCTCAGGACAGATTGCTTAACAAGGTTAATCCGTGAAGGTGGAGCTGAGGTGGTAATGGCTAGACTAATGAGTCTAATGCCTAGACTAGATGCATAGTCAGCTAGGAGAGAAGCCTCAAAGATGACTCCCTCCACCAGGAATATGGGTTGCAGGCAGATAGAGTTCATTGTTGACATCATTATAGATACTTTAGAAATGAAGAGATGGCTACAGGAGGATGTCAGATTTGATTGCAGGGCTAGCTCACTGGTAAAGCCCTTATATAGCATAGGTGAGGTTCTGGGTTCCATCCCGGGCACACATAAAAATAAACCTGATTGTGTACTTGCTTACTGTAGTGAGACCTTCAAGTGGGATTGCTTGTTGTCCACAGAGGTTTGTGGTTTTACTGTGGTAGTGGTTGTTATTTTTGGTGAGGTTTTAAGTTTGGTTTGATTCTCTCTTGTGCTCATCATTGATACCAAAGGTTTTGTGACTTTTCTGGGAGCAAGTAGAGCAGGCTGATTCCTGGTGCTGAGGAGCATCCAGGAAATACACATCAAGAGGATTTCTCATAGCCAGGTATGGTGGCATGCCTTCGCAAGTCCAGTCCTCCAGGGTCTGGAGCACCAGGATCAACATGAGGTCAAGGCCAGCCTAGGCTATAAGGCAAGACCCTGGCTCAAAAAAAAAAAGTTATATCCATACATGGTCCTTGTTTGGAGAAACAGTCTCATAAAAGACCCCTGTGCCCAGATATATTTGGTCCTTGTGGAGCTCCTGTCCTAGCTCCCTCTTCTTTCATACGATTCCCTGCATTCGGCCCAAGGTTTGGTTATGAGTCTCAGCATCTGCTTTGATACACTGCTAGGTAGAGTCTTTCAGAGGCCCTCTGTGGTAGGCTCCTGTCCTGTTTCTTGTTTTCTTCTACTTCCAATATCCATCCCATTTGTCTTTCTAAGTGAGGATTGATCATCTTACCCCAGGTCCTCTTTCTTGTTTATCTTCTTTAGGTTTACAGATTTTAGTATGTTTATCCTATCTTATAGGTCTAGTATCCACTTATAAGTGAGTATATACCATGTGTGTCTTTCTGCTCCTGGGATACCTCACTCAGGATGATCTTTTCTAGATCCCACCATTTGTCTGAAAATTTCATGATTTCCTTGTTTTTAATAGCTGAGTAGTATTCTATTCCATTGTGTAAAAGTACCACAATTTCTGTATCCATTCCTCCGTTGATGGACATCTGGGTTAGAACTGCTGCTCAGATGTAGCCCATGGTAGCTCAGTATCCAAGTGGGTTCCCTAGTAAGGGGAACAGGGACTATTTCTGACATGAACTCAATTGAACTCAATGGCTGGCTCTTGAGAGGAGCAGCCTTGCTAGGCCACAGAGGAGGACATTGCAGCTAGTCCTGAAGATACCTGATAAACTAGGGTCAGATGGAAGGGGAGGAGAACCTTCCCTAGCAGTGGACTTGGAAAGGGGCAGGGAGGAGATGAGGGAGGAAGGGTGGGATTGTGAGAGAATGAGGAAGGGGCCTACGGCTGGGATACAAAGTAAATAACCTGTGAGTAATATAAAAATAAAAATTATTAAAACAAAAAAAGAAGTCAAAGTTTTTCAAG